AGGGGGGGGGGGGAATCTTTGATCGTCTCATCGCATCACCAACTAATTTCTTTTTCACCCTCTTTCCACTAGTTACTATTTTTGTCACAGATGGCGTATGGTACTACGGTCGATTCAAGTGCAACCAGTGTGGCCGCTCTACTGCAGTTTCAACCCTGGAGTATGTTTAGACAAATTAAGACACAAAGAAGTAGCCAGAACAATTAGTAAATAAAATGTTTTATTGAAACGATACAAGTTATAAAAATAAGTGTGTTTATATAATATATCCTAGAACAAATTAAATGTAAATGTTAATTAACAATAATGTTCTATAAACTAGGTTTAAAATAACCGACTTTAAAAAATTCTCAGTAGTAGCACGGAGTCTGGAATTGTGCCCGGTATATGGCAATAGACTCACCCCCTATTACATGGGACTCATAACATAAATAGTGAAAAGTGGGTGTTACATTGTACAGTGGTATAATGTGCACCTCTGCCTACCCCTTCGGGTATAAAAGGCGTGATGTTATGTTGTGTTATGTTTTCTGAAAACATATCAGAATCGGTTTAGCGAATCCCGAGATAAACGCGGACAAATATAAATACGGACAAATATCGGCGATGTTTCCAAACCGATACGACCTTCAAACCTTCAAGAAAAGAGTGTATTCCTTTTTAAAACTCTGGCAACGCACCTGTGACTCTTCTGGTGCTGCGCATATCTGATCGCTTACCATCAGGTGATCCGTCTGCTCGTTTGGCTCCTATTCCATAAAACTAAATATTTACTGGTCAAATTGACAAACTCTTTCATCATAAGTCGGTCGATTAAAATATTAATAAAAACTATGCAGAAGGACTAACAACAAGAAAATCTTTTGATGTCTCTTATAACCTAAAGCGTCTAAATAGTAAATATTTGGTAGTGAAACACCCTAAAATACATACATACAAACATTATCTCACGCCTCTCTCCCATGGGTCTCTGCCCTAAAAATAATAGTCAAAATCTACATGTCTATGGAACAACAAACTTCAATTACCTACCACACTGGTTTCGATAAAGTTTCATTATTTGTAGAAACGAAATTAGCTTTCTCAATTTGCTCATCAAAATCTTTGTCTATTTTCACCTTAGTCGTAAAATTTGATAGGTTTCTGTCAATCCCACAAATGTATGATCATTTTTAATGACAGATGCAATAGTGTCAGTTACATTTGACAGTTCTTTGTCTATTTTATCATCTGTGGCTGTAGTCAAACTAGTGTCAATATTAACATCAGTTTGTATAGTTACAATATCAGTTTTAAAATGAATAATGCTTTCATCTGTAATAGTGTTTTTGTCATATACTATAACGCTAGTACTTTCAGGCGTTATATAAAACACATCATTGCTTAAAAGAGTAGTGCTGCCATCTATGGTATTGTTTTTGTTATTGATGACTATAATGTCATTAAAGTCATGTCTCAAACCAGGCATTACATAAACAGCGCTATTATTCAAGTCAACATTTTTAAGACTCGGTATAATTGGTTCAGGTAGTTCATAAGTTTTGTTATACGGCAAAAAACTGCTAGCATTAAAATTTCGAATCTCATGAGTGCTATTTTTGGACATGGTATCATAAAAATTGACATTCATATCACTATTGTTATATAGATAGATGCTTGGATTTACTTCAGTATCTATCCTAAGATAGACATATGATTTCCACTGATCATCATGATTATTATGATGAGAATAATTAGGTCTGAAACCTCCACTGTTTTGTAACTGTATCTCCTCTATCATTCCTACGATATTGAAGTATGTTCCTCCGAAGACTGTCACCAAGCCGACAATAACTATTGATATACACTTCACTAGTCTCCATCTATATTTACCAAGTCCTGGATATTCCCAATCGAGGATCATCTCTATGATTGCTGGGTAAATCATTACTGCTGGGGTCGTGAACAAACTGCCAAGCTGAAATGAAAATAATTGTGTGAATTTATTTATACTACATAAGGCCTGTAAGATTAGTGTGTTTATGACAACTCCTACTTTTCCTCTGCTGGACTTTAGGTCTCCTCTAGAAAATAGGAGCTATAAACTCCACTGTTAGCAGGTGAGTCGGGAGTGCGCAGTTTAAGATCATTGAGTATATCACAAAGCCCTGCAGACCTTTAGGCTTAATTCATTCTGTCTCCTGCATTAATTCAGTGAGGGAAGTGGAAACTATCGTTTTTTCTTCTCCTCTTATAATATCTTCTGATTCAGGCGTTGCGGGAACCAAGACAGTTATTCATGTCCCTGGGATGCGCCGGACTTCAATGTTCCGGTGTTTTCATGGTTTTATCTACTTTAGGTCCTAGCTTACAGGAGTTGCAGCGGTTTTGGGAGATTGTGGCGGGCTTGTTACATTATAAGAAAGAGCCCTACAGCAGTTCGATCTCTGTTAAACATCTAAGGGACCTACATCACCTAGGGATGTGCCGTAATGGGCGTTGCACTGTGAGGACTTCGGAGCACGTATTAGAGGACCCGGTGTCCTTGCAAGTGCTGAAAGTGGCTTATCATCAATGGCAATCAGGGTGATTTTAGTGAGATACAATTCTCACACTCCCTAGTCATCATTCTCCCCAAAAAGCTAAGCACCTTTTGAAGATTGCCCCCCGTTAAAAAAAAGGACCTACGTCAACCACAGAGTAATGTCCAAATACTCAAACGCCACTCAATTTTATGTCGCAATTAAGAATTGTTCTGTCACTACAAATTCTTTGTAAAATGACGAAAGCTGGCACGATATTTAAAAATTAGTAGCCTTTCAGTATTCGGGAGTAAGCTTTAGTGACGAATATATTCTACTCTGCAGTAAGGCACGGTTTGTAAAAGTATCTAATAAAGAGAAAAATGACTTACAACACCCATCATTCTCGTGACATTTGGCAGAAGATACGATATCAGTATGAGTACCACAACATGCAGGGTTCTATACAATCTCTCCAAAAACCAATGATTAGATATCTGGTGATACCGTTTCAAATAAAACCATTCCACATCAAAAGCCACGTGGAAACACATTGCGTATACAACGTATAGTATTATACAAAGAAATACTTTTAATATTATGGCGAAGCTGAAAAAAGAAAATTAATTATTCTTACTAATAATAATATGAATGTAAAAGTTTATATGTTTGCTCAATCAGGTCAAAATCGCTAAAGAAATTGATATGAAATTTGGAACAGAGATAGATTATGTTCTGAAATTACACATAGGGTGATTAAAAATATTAAGATTTTTTTGGGTTTGCTCGATTGGTTACAATCTATATCAAGTCTTATAATCACCACGCATTACGTGTTACCACTGATTTCAATTAAATATTACAAATACGGTTTAATATAAAACTTAGTACCTAATCGCAAGTAGCGACCATAGCGTGCCTGGTGCTAAATAAATGTTTTTTCTTTCTTTCTTTCTTTCTATTTCACTAAAAACTAAGATGATATTAAAAAAGAAAAGTCGTCGTGGTGGCTCGGAGGTTTAAGATGCCCGCTTCTCATGCATGAGGGTGCGGTTTCGAAACCTATCAACGGCAAGTACCAATATAATTTTTCTGAGTTATATGTACTTTCTAAGATTATTTAGACACCACTGACAAACACTGAAGGCAAAACACCGGGAGGCAACCTCCTGGACATCATTTCTAATTATAAGTTTGAAATCACCAACCCGAATTGAGCAAGCGTGGTGATTAATGCTCAAACCTTCTCCGTGTGAGAAGAGGTTTTGCTCAGCAATGGACATTTATAGGCTGTTGATTTATGTATGTATTAAAAAAGAACTTACGCCGAATAAGGATAATGCATTGTTATTGGTGACACACAGTTCTCAGCATAATACCAGTAACCGATAAACCCAACAGTTACCATGCAAGCAGTGTGGATTGGCATTGCTGAAAATCGACATTTAAAATTCAGCCATGTACTGATAGTAGAGCAGAATTTTGCGACACAATTCCACTCTATGCCTGGATCTCATTAGGATATGACTGGATATCATAAGAAATGACAAAGGGACTTTTTTAAGGGGAGAAAATCATCGGATGCCTTCTCCCGCCTGGGTGAGGTGGTAGGGAGTGTCAGACTGTTACTGAATAAAAACCACCCCGTTCCTACTCCTGCATTTCGAGCCGGAGCCCCGGTAACCCGTTAAGTTCTCCGCAGTTCCGAATCGACATCAGCGCTATTGGGCCCCATCTGTGGTGGTCTGATGGCTCTTTAAGGCGCGCTCGGAACGCGACGCACCGTACGCTTGGGTCTGGTTCTAGTCGGGTGGCGAGCCACCCAATGTCAAAGGGACTACACATTTATTTGACTGAGATTGTGCAGTAGATTATCGCCCGAATACTGAGAGGCTATTTTAAGTTGTACTTAGATATCGTGACATCTCCTTCATTTTATTATATATTTCAGCGCGAGATAAAATTCAGTGGCTTTTCAGTATTTGGACATAAGGAACATAAACTCTTCAAATATGATCAGTATGCTTGCCTATGTAAAAATTATAGTCAAGTCAAACTTCAGAAGTGAATTACCAGGAGCTAATTATGCAGATTTTGTAGTAAGCGTTGTTATAAATGCTCTTTCTATCTATGACACAAGGTCTTTGCCCATAAATAGGACAGTGTTATGCTGATGAGGACAATGGTTCACAGTGAAGATTGATGAACACTAGTAAACAACATACTTTTGCAGCTAAAACAAGACAGTAAGATAAACATATAGATGCTCACATCCAAGTACTACGTAATGGAACTTCGTAGGATCTTCCATATTGTTCTCGACTGCCAAGGAGTGGCTGACAGGCTCCAAGACGAATACACATAGGCTCATAAACTGAAAAGTTCCCATAACCGACTTATAGGGAGCTCTGTCCCCTGGACTGTCCACTATGTTATGGAAACTATACCATAACAGAACTAGGATGACGGCAACTGAAAATAAATGAAATGACATTAACAACGAATTTTGAAATGATATTTCGTTTATGGGATAAGCCGGTAAACGACCTGAAGATGATAAGCAACCGCCGCCGTCGCCCATGGATACCTCGGAACACCAGAGGCGTTACAAGTGCGCTACCGGCTGTTGGGAGATTAGGAATTTGAAGATTGTTGGGATTCAGAGATTAGGGAGATTGGGAAAGATGGAGGGGGGGTATAATTGGGCCTCCGGTATCCTCATTCACACGACGAAACACAACGCAAACGTTATTTTCTGTGAGGCCGTGGTATCACTTTGGTCGTCCTATTCGTTTTAAAGGATGGCTCTCTACACTAAATGATGCCTGTGTATGGTAATAGATAGATAGATAGATAGAAAGAAAAACCATTTATTGCACCACTACACACAACAAGAATACAGGTACATCATCATCATCATTATCATCATCATCAGGTAATAGGTTCATTTACTATTACTATTTATCAGTTCCATGACGATTTTAGTGAAAGTAAGGTCTAGTATTGTGATATACACCTCTGCGTTCCCCTTTAGACGCTAAAAGGCTACATTATCCAAAGATAATGATTATATTATGTTTTTAATACGAAACTTACAAGCATATAGATTGCAGATCAAAGCAAATGGCGCCAGGGTCTTCAAATCCATCACCATCGATATTGCCACGCATGGCATCATCAGGGATATGATGTAGACCTTCAAAGGTGGTTCACCAGCATCACTTATCGTATGATCTCCATTCACTAGCTCCTTCAAAGCTCTAGCTATCATGATGACGAAGACACAACAAGAGCCATACAGGTGCATTACGAGGGTAAATTCTAAAAGGTATCTGGAATAGAAAATTTTGTGCTGGACCAGGTATTGTGAAGATTTTGTTTACTTCATTAATATTAAAACTTTCGCCAGACATCATACTGAATTAATTATTATGTTTTCGGCTTACTCACTTAATTGTTTGATGAAGAACTCGACTAGTTTCAAGCCATGCTAGAGGCTAGAGCCATGTAATAGGGGTTGAGCCTATTGCCATATACCGGGCACAATTCCAGACTCTCTCTTTTAAAAACCCATTAGTACTTTGCCCGGTCCGGGACTCGAACCCGAAACCCCTTGCCTGGCAGTCGCACTTGCAACCACTCGGACAATGAGGCAGTCTTTCTTTTTATAATTTATAAGAATAAAGTATAATTTATTCTTACAAAAGATACTTACCTAGCACCTTTAGCTGTTTTTCTTAATTTATTCCAAGGTGACAGCAGGATTGTGGCTTCTAACATGTCAGGGTACGACAGTATCGCCCTTTCGACTCGTCCGTATAGTTTCTGTGCTGACCAAACTAGTATCTGTAATGTAATTTTTTAAGTTTGATTTCAATGATATGACTTTTTTCCTCCAGGTTCTTTTTAACTCTGATCGCTTCGTCAGTTCAGTAGCTACAAATTCGATTACCGAGTTGGGTAAAACATTATTATTGTGTTGTGTAATTTTTATTTGTACCGTTCTATTCAAAGAAAACAAAAAATAATAAATAATTAAGTAAAAATCGCGGTTCACTCACGTGAGTATACTGAGATAAGCTGTACTAGTTTCGAACCACACAGGGGTTCTTACTCATGAGCAGCGTACGTGGTCCCGGCGATGTCGCGTTGCCTAACAATAGGGTAGTACCTAACTAGTAGAGCTTTTCTCAGTGAGTAACCCGCGATTTTATTTAATTAAGTATGTCTCACGATAGTTATTATAAAAACAAAAATGAATAATAATAATTATGATTGTTATATTTTTATAGCTTTTCGATATTTTAATAATATAGATATTTTATAGCGATAGGCTCACACTTATTGACTAGACTCTTCATTGTTGGTATTGATGAATCATTATGATTGGTAATTTTCCCTAAATTTGTAATCTAAATAGATATTCCTAATAAATAAATTCATAGTAAAGCAATGGAACTCACACAAGCGCAATATCCAATAAGGGCTGCTAAAACTAGATTAATGCTCATTGCTAGAAATATTCCGCACTCCATGTAGGCCGCATGTAACACCACCAGGCTACCACCGAGCCCATACATCAACATATGTACCATTGAGACTATGATGCTGAAAATATTAAACAAACTAATAATATAACTACGTTTTTTAAGGGGGGAAAACCATAGAATCACTTCTCCCGCCTGTGTGAGGCGGGAGGGAGTGTCAGACTCTTACTAACTAAAAACCACCCCGTTCCTACTCCTGCACTTCGAGCTGGAGTCTCCGTAACCCGTTAAGTTCTCCGCGGCATGTAACTACGTATAATTCTGTATTTTGTCACTTGAAAGAAGGTTATTTCGTCCGTGCGTCACTGCAGGGGTGCCAACTGAAAACCAGTGTTGGGTACTTACTGTGCCCAGCTCAAACTGAGTTGGCGAGCCCTTTCGTCGCGGACATGCTGCCACCCTGTATTTTTTTATTTTTTTTTTTTTATTTTGCTTAGTTATGCTTTTTGCCTTCATTGTTGTTTTATTTTTTACTGCTGTTTTTTGTATGTTATTATTGTTTTGTTCTTATTGTTTTTTATTTTATTTTATTTCTTTTTTTTGTTTTCAATGTTATTTTTTTTATTATTTTGTGTGTTATTCGGTGGTCCATGTCGGTGACGAATAAATTATTTTTCTTTCTTTCTTTCTTTCTTTCTTTATTTTTATCACAAAACTGATGATTGTGTTTGGCATGGAGAACTAAAAAGGACTTGGAGACTTCCAAGTGATGACAATGATGATGACCATTGGGGTAGACGTGCTCAAAAGTAAAGATCCAGTCTCTCCGTCCGTCCAACATCAACATCAACAGCCTGTAAGTGGCCACTGCTGACCAAAGGTCTCTTCACACGAGGAGAAGGCTTGACGCTTGAGCATTAATGCCCATCATGCTTGCTTAATGCGGGTTGGCGATTACAAACTTATAATTAGAAAGTCTAAGCCCAACTTTCCTCTATTCTTCTGTTTCCTTACGATTTTTTCTGTCAACTTTGTCAGTGGTGTTTAAACTGTCATACACCAAGCGGTCACCGGTGACCGCAACCTATTGTTCTTTAATTGTGTCTATATTGACGGTGCTCGACGAGTTAAATAATCTTAGGACGTACATATAACTTGGAAAAAGTCACATTGGTACTTGCCATTGGCAGGTTTCGGATCCGCACTTTCATGCATGTGAAGCGGGCGTTTTAAACATCTGAGCCACCACGACCAGAATTGCGTTGCGTTATTAGAGATCTCTATCTCAACAGTGAACGAAAAAGAATGTGCGATCATGTCATATAATACAATAACTAATTTCACTAACTTATTTGGCGATGAACGTATAGTCCTATTGGATTTGTAGTCATAATTTTGAGCATCTATTGGGTTATTTCTTTCTTTAAAGCTTTCCCGAATACCGCTATAGTAGCTAGGTAGCTAAAAAATAAAATAAAAATATATGAGTTCATGTAAATTTCACCCTGGTTACAAACATTGATTTTAAGGCTAAAAATTGGTTAATAATTTATGAAGCGCCTAAATTAATGTTCAAAGGATCAGTAAGGCATGGGCTGACTATGTCTACAGAAAGGTTTCCAAAAGCCAGTTGGATGTAGAAGACGGGGATCGTGTGGTTTAGCATGGTATAAAAGGAGCTGATGTCCAGCAGTGGATCTCTTTAGGACTACCATGATTAAAACATCAAATAAATTCCATAGAAGAGGCATTCTCCGGCACGAATAGACCGATTTACAAAAAAATGTGTCATTTCCTCAAAAGATAGGCAACGCATTTGTAACTGTTCTGGTGTAGCGGGTGTCCATAGGCGACAGCGATTGCTTACCATCAGGTGATCCGTGAGCTCGTTGGTCCCCCTAATCCGTAACATAAAGATATAGTCTTATTGGTTTATTTTTACCGATATCTTTGCATCATCTACGCTAGCTGGTCCAAGTTCTGGATCAGATTTCTTTTCTTCTTGTTTCTTTGTTTGGTTAGTCGTCATCTGTATTGAGTCGCCCATATTGTTGCTGTCTTTTGTTCCAGAAACCTCATAAGGTTTAGTTCAGTAATTATAAATATACTTCCGTACTACTTTCGATGGTACGAAGGCGCGGTAATGTAACGTAAGTATTTATTACAGTTATCTCTCTTACTTATATTATTTATTCTACTTTCTTTGCTTTATAGAGTTTCTCTTCGTTTGTAACAAATGTAATACGTATAGAATGTCCGTTTTAATTATTAAATAATTAAGCATAATCAACTATTACAAAACTATTATCTTTTGGTAAAACAAATCTAATACATTTGTGGTTGTTCTGTTTAGCTTCTATTTTATGTCATAAGCTGACAGATAATGTCATTTTTAATGGATAACAGCTAGACATAGATATATAAACATATCATATCAGTGGAGCTAGACCATCGAGATGCCATCGAGCTAGACTATGGCACGACTATGGCTATATGGCATCCTTTATACTCACTGATATGTTTATACTAATTATAGTCTTTGCAAAATCTTTGCTGAACTTTGATTTACCATGATTTACCGCGAGTTTTTACCTAGGTACTCCTTTCTTCCTTGGTTTTTCCATTTTCCATGATTTTCCATTTGTATCAGTCTTACAGAACTTTAATTGATTTTTGACGGCTTCGGGGTCCTGGATTCGGTTAGCGAGGCTTAAGACATTTTGGTAACTTCAAGATCCACAAGTTTAATGTCATTTTGAATCAGTCATTTCAAAGAGTATAATAAGTATAGGGGATAAGAGTTGCCACTCGTCAAAAATTTATGCCAATCAATTTGAAACGCCATCTGAAAATTGGATCCTAGTATATTTTTTTTTTTACTAACGTCTACAGATAATCCTAAATATAGCTAATGCCAATACTACCAACAATGTACCTTGCAGGTTGGTACATTGAAGGTAGTATTGGAATTAGCTATGTCTGGTAGCTGCAAAATCAAAGAAGTTATTAATTACAATATTACATTTATTTTACA